GCCAGGCCAGGCTAGGCAGGGTGAGAGAAGTAAAGCGGCAGGTACTTACGTTTCCGAGAAAGTAGCGGCGGTAGTATATTGTTGATTTAGATTCGACGACATCCTGAAGCTAGTAGGTGGCGGCCTCATCGCTCTCGAACTTGTTGTTGTAGGGGATACGAGGCACACCCAATATCCCCCTTACATTGATCACATCGCACACTAATATTTTTACTATTTCGGACACCAGATTTGTCTGTTTCGTATATGTATAATTGTTCAATATTAAAACCACAATAGAATGATCTTAACAGTTACAATTTTCAACTTAACAGCCATATAGTTGGCAAGAAGGCCGCCCGCCAGTGTAAATGTCTCAGAAACCAAAATTGAATTGCATGATCTTAATAGGGCCTAATAAGAGCAAGATAAAACTGAATAACAACATTAGATATCTTACTGCTAATGCTTCTATAAATAAATCCCAATATCCTATACTGTACTTGCTTTATTGCAAACCCTTTATGCCTTGATTCCTTGAGACTTAAGTAGGGCTTAAGAGCCCTACTAATCATGACTTCCAGTAATCATACCTTTTAGGCCCGCAAATGCTTGTTAAAGCTTATGCAAGTCATTAAATTAGAACCTTCACACCTCCAGGTATAGCTGGGGTATGAAGTATATAATAGTCAAGTTCAAGTATGTTTATTGAGACAAGAAAAAAATACATCTCAAAGGGATAGAGTAGCTTAGGCTTTTTCTACCCCCTCTACTCAACGAGTATACCAGAGACTCCTGCCTGAAATTTAATCCACTAGTGTTGCTTTAATAAATTATAGCTCATATGCCTGTATAGCAACTAGTCTCAATATTAATTGTACCTAATATTAATAAGGGTGAGGGAGAGATGCGATCACTGCTCCATCCGCGCTGTCAAGCGGGAGTTGCCACAAAGATAGTATTACCTCATTATTTCATTGTCTCTGATTTATTTGATATATTTTTTGCAGTAATATTATTCAATAGTGTGTAGTGTGATATATTTATATAATATAGAAAAAGGGGAGCACACCTCATCAAGGGCAGCTACCAAAAGAATCGAGGACCAAGGGAACCTAGCTGGGACAGGGGGCTCGAAAACCTTAATGGGAAGGGATGCAGGGATAGAGTCGGAGTCGGAAGGTGGAGAAGAAAGGGGTGCCTTCTTACCTGCCGGGAAGGAAGAAGGAGAAGAGCCAGGCTTACGTTACTGTCTTAAAGAGACAGGTGTGCCAGCAACAACGTACTGGGCGACAGCCGCCAGAGTCTTAACAGGAGAAGGAGAGCAATCAACATGAAGAGTGCCGGGAGGAGGGTGGACAACAGCCTGGACAAACAGACGGCGCTGAGGCCTGGGAAGAAAAATCAGGGGGAGAAAGGAAAGAGGACACAGGAGATAGGACAGACCGGGAAGGAAGGAAACACCAGACAGAGAACCAGGAAGAGGACCTTCTGGTTCAGAACGTAAAGGAGCAGGTAAGGTGGTGGAGGTGTGTTCGGGTCCCTTCCGAATTGTTCCCAATTGATTTGAGGGAATGCCTGAAAACTGTTATGAGAATGAGAAAGGAGGGGAGGGGAAGGAGAGGTGGAACGCAACACACGAGCATAAGACATGCCAGCGAAAGAGGGGAGACGGCGGACTTTTCGGAAAAGTCTTTCGACTTTCAGGAAAAGACAAACGATCGCGGTGTTTCAAATTGAGGATGACTTCCTCAAACTTGTAGTGGCGTCACCCCAATTGATGCAGTGAGCTTGGGAAGAAGAGCACTCTGTCTTAGAGTGACCCGAGTCCCCACACAAGGGGCATAGTGACACCACTTGTGCATTTGAGGGAATCATGCCCATATTTCCAGCACTTATTGCAAAGTCTAGGAGAGGGAATGTATTCTTAAACGGAGCATCTGGCACCAGCAAGAATTATAGAAGGGGGTATAGGGATCTACTATCAAAAGTGATCTTCACAACGCGAAGAGGTTGATGACGACGACCCCGAGGGGGTCGAGTGAATGTATCAATCTGGAGGACAGAATGGCCTTGGGCTTCAAGGATATATGTTTGATATCCTCGTGGCAGTCTTTCAGGTCCCTAACACCAATCGCAACATAGTGAGGGAGGATAACTGTGCTAATACGGCTATTTAACCGGGCATTTTTGGAGATCCTAACAGGGGTCTCCCCAATGCTAGACAACGATGCTAAGTGGACAGCTGCTTCCTCCGAAGGAGCAGCAACGACACGTGTACCAGTACGGGTAAGGTTAAAAATAACAAAAGGTATCCACCGAATTAACGAGGTGTTTATGGAGGAAGAAATCGTCAGGACGTGAAGAATCCACATCATTGAGATCAAAGTACTTATTCCCTGTAGCAGGACCAAACAAGGCTCGGAACGAAGTAGAACTGGAAGAAATCGCCAGGGTGCGTTTGCGGAAGGAACAGCGTCGAGCACTCCCAGTAAAATGGGGGGTAAAAGGTGCAGTGGTCACAATGAGAGGAGCCGCTCCAGGTGATGAGGTGGTCACCACTGGGGGATTGGGGCTCAACCCCGCCACAGAGGTGGGACGGGAACAGAGAGGGGTAGTAGGGAGGGTCAATGAAGCAGCTTGGCCTGGGTCTAATGTAGCGGGGGCTACAGTGCCCGGTCTTCCATCAGTCCGACTGGGGGGCCTTGTCGTTCACCCCATAGGCCAGGGTAAGAGAGGTCGGTTCAGTTTCCATACCATCAATTCCAAAAGTCTGGATTACCTCGTACATTCTCCCATACTGGTGCAAAGATCTCAGTCTCTCTTTCACCCCAGCCTGGATACCCAACCATCCACTAAGCGCAGCTTCCTCACAGGCGGCCCCTCCAGAGGAAGGTTCGTTGACTCACAAGAACTCTACGTTTGTGTCCTTTCGTACGTACAATGCCTAAAGAGGGACAGGGAAAGGGGCGAAGGCAACCCACACTAGCCCCAGGAATCGTACGTGACCATCCCCCACCTCACCACAAGGAGACACTTCGGAGGTGGGTCGTTTCTAAAAATGTGAGCAGGATTTATTTTAACAAAGCCATGTTGCATTGGTTTTTATAGATGTTCACGATGAGATGGTGAACTCTCCTACCATAACACTGGGTAGGTGTACCAGAGTATTGAGGGCACGGGGGCAGGGGTACCATAGTACTGAGGAGACAGAATGCAGGGGGCACCAGTGTATCGAGGGCATATAGGGCAAGGGTACCAGGGTATTGAGGGCACAAGGCAGGGTAGCGATGCCATTTGTGTTAATCGGGTGACAGGTACTTTCAGTGTGGAGGGTACATGTTAGGGGTACCTTCAATGTGGAGGGTATACATGGCTGGAGGGCACAGCGCAGGGGTACCATCAGTGTTGATGGGGCACAGGGCAAGTCGAAGGTCATAGGACCTGGGGCAGCAGTGGGCCTGTTTAATGCTGGGGCCAGTTGGGTAGTGGTGGGCCTGAGAGTGGGGCAGTGGTGGGCCTGAGAGTAGGGCAGTGATGTGGTGACGGTAGCAGGTACCAGCAAGATGCTTGCTGGATCCAGCCACGTGACCATACTTCCATCACAACCACAACAAACAAATGCACTACGTAGAAAACAATCCTTAGTATGTATGTGTGTGTGTGTGTCTGTTTTCTTTTGGATGAGTTGACAGCACAATGAGTCAAATACAGTTTTGGAGATGCGTCCCTGATGACTTAATTCCTCCCTCAGTCGTTGCATATTTGGCAGTTCTATTGTTTGGAACTGTAAGGTGGGTGTGACTCATTGTAATCATGTCCGAACAGTAAAGAAAACGTGTGTAGACGAGAGACAGGAAGGTGGACGTCCTTGCTGCTCGGCGCGTGTGTAGCACCACGCCTTAGCCTGCCATGACTCGCCACGCAGTCTCTCTCTTTTTCGCTTCTAAAATACTTTGTACAACTTTTTCTCAAATTCTTACCATGTTAAAACCATTAACGTAATATAAAAGTAAACCATAACAGTAATTTGATTGTTGTCAAATACGTGAAAGGACTCGAAATTAAATCCACAGTTCATTTTTACCATCAATTTCCAGCAAGAATTTTCAAGGAAACCAGATTTGTTTCCCACGGTGTCTAGGGCCCCGCGAGAAGCATAATGCTCTACACACTCGTCCTGCAGGAATAACTCTTGTGTCCTTAGCACGGTCAATATGCTATTTTTTTTTAAACCACTTGTTCTAGATAGGAGGCCATTTTTTACACTAGCAGTAGCGTGGGAAGATATTCTCAGAGGCTTGTTGTGTAATACTGACGGGAGGGTGGCGCGCCGCCAAGCCAGAAATCCCGGAACAGGCTGGTTGCAGGGGTGGCGAGCCTTGCCTGGATGTCTGATGTCCAGTGCTGCAAGGAAACCTCGCCTTGATGTTCAAGTGCTGCAGGAAAGCCTTGCCTGGATATCTGATGTCCAGTGCTGCAAGGAAGCCTCGCCTTGATGTTCAAGTGCTGCAGGAAAGCCTCGCCTGGATATCTGATGTCCAGTGCTGCAAGGAAGCCTCGCCTTGATGTTCAAGTGCTGCAGGAAAGCCTTGCCTGGATGTCTGATGTCCAGTGCTGCAAGGAAACCTCGCCTTGATGTTCAAGTGCTGCAGGAAAGCCTTGCCTGGATATCTGATGTCCAGTGCTGCAAGGAAGCCTCGCCTTGATGTTCAAGTGCTGCAGGAAAGCCTTGCCTGGATATCTGATGTCCAGTGCTGCAAGGAAGCCTCGCCTTGATGTTCAAATGTTGCAGAGAAGCCTCACCTTGATGTCCAGTGCTGCTGGGGGAGCCTTGTCTTGATGCCCAAGGCTGTAGGGGTACCTTGCCTTCATGTTTTATATCCAGTACTGTAATGTTCGATGCGCCACCCCTTGCCGTCCATCACATCCTCGTTTATGTCGGCTACATGAAGACAAGTCAACTTGGGTGCTCTGTGTTCACATACAGTTAATGTTATGGTAATAATCAAAGCATAGAAAACATAACTTTTAATTTATTATGCATTTATTACATAAGATTCCATCACACTTAAATCACAGATTAATACACAAGTGGACCCGGGGCCCCTCGGCCGGAAATAAATTATTCAAAATATATATACTGTATTTCATTTCTTTTAAGTAGAGTCGCCCAAATTTACTAAATGATACCATATATACTAATCACATCCCGGTGAAAAGTGCTCAATGAATTTGATATTAATGTGTAATATCAAACAGTTTCAAACCAGCATATTTCTACATGTATAAATATAAAATGTATATTAATATTTATCAAGATGATTTGATTTTATCAAAACATAAATAATTTGTGCTCAATTAAATAGTAAGGTGGGAGGGGGGAGGATGGGGGTGAAGTGTCGGGACACAGGTCTGTTTGGAAGACAGGCTACAATCACACAAACAGGTAAACAGATATATATTGACAGACCGTCCCTTCAGTGGGATAGGGATATATATATGTGAGCGCCCGTCCCCCGTCTCTGATCACATCCCTTTGGAAAGGGGAGTAAGGGGATGTGGGTCTCCATCCTTAAATTTAACCATCCAACTTCCACCACCACCACCCCACTTGGCCCCGATCAAGGACTGGTTCTGCCTGAAGCTGCCGCTTGTGGTGATGGTGGTGGTGGAAAGACAGAACAAAATACCAAATTATGAGTTTCATTTATCGATAATCTTTTAAAAAATGTTAAGAGAGAGAGAAAGAGAGAGAGATAAAACCAAGTGCAAGTCGTGGTCCTCCTTCCGTAGCACCGTACGCCTGGCCATGCAGGTGTCAGGGCCGCAAGGTACCGGCAGGAGCAACATTACACCCCAGAAAAAGCCCTCTCCGACTGGTCACTAATATTAAACACCAGCTTTATAAATCCCAATACGATCTAGTGAACAAAATATGTGAGCGTCATCATCAGCTTCTGGTTGAATGTATATCTAATATGGGGAGTAATGAGAACCAGATATATAATGTATCTTGTATGCGGGTATCTGGTGTGGGTATCTATGCATCACCACAAAACATACCGACATCTTTATCAACCCATCCTGTATAAGCCCCTTTTACTACTCCTCCTCTGGTTCACTTATTAAATTCAACCTATGTATAAAAAATCCACTTAAGAACATATAATCAGTGTACGCCAGGGATCTGATTGGATGGAGATAAGGGTGCTGGCCGCATGTAAAGGTAATTGAGGAATGTGGGCAGCATAATTGAGAACATAATCTTCATTCATAAATTTTATCAGATAAATAGTTTTGTTGCTCACTCGTCGACGGGGGTTTAAAGGTGTACCGAATGCGGCTTTTTTCAATGTTTTGGGACAGTGAAGAAGAAGTACTAAAGATTCATTTATGCTTTTTGTGAATTATTCAACAGAATTATTACATTCCTAGTTTTAATATGGATTTGGGTTTTCCCTGGTTGTCGTATTCGAAAATATTGAATTCAGGGGGTCTCATTTTTAGAAAATCTTTAAAATAAGTTAAGAATAGGGGTTAGTCTCTCAAAGACTAGGACGCAGATGATTCCAATGTGGACGGACTGCAATACCAGCCACGAGAGGGTGGGGTTGTGGATGACATCACCTCTAACAAGGTTTTAGATTTCGCTGGAGTAAATTCAATTTGGATTTTCAGATGTGAGCAACAACAAGATTTTAAACATAAAAGTCAGAATGTTAAAACGTCAATGATATAAATATGCGATGAACTTCTTTAATTGACTTTAGTGGTACCTTCGAGCAAATAAAATGCGCCTACTCACGTATTACTAAATATAGCATCTATATGCCGAATATTAGGTCTAGGATAAGTTACGGTGGGATGTTGTCTTAAGTTTCCATTATTTAGTCAATTTACGCTAATGTTTTACATTTCAATATAATAAAATGTGAACTTATAGCGGTTTATCAGTCAATATTTTGCACATGTGGCTTCGCAGACAACTAGCGTTCGGGAAGGTGGGTTGACGGACGGACCTGTATTAACAGATCACACAAGAAAAGATTATCAGAGGCGATCTTTCTCGAGTCAAAGCATTGCATAATAAATTCTAACTGCTGGGGACAAATTATTGATGACCTTGTTCTGACTAACAAACCTGGCAGGCCAGACTGGTGGTGCTTGGAAGGAGAGGGTTGCCATCATAGTGGCTGAAAGACAAAGAGAGAAAACTAGTTCTGTCAAAGGCAAATCCGACATTTTCAAGTTCTTGGCTGTCTGCACATCATATGATATTAATGTCCTTGTCAAGTATCCCTTACCTGCTAATCACCACCACATACCCCGGGCGGGGGTATGTCGAGGATGATCTAGCATATCATAAAAAATATATTCTCCAAAAAAACAATGACTAGAGGTTGGGTCACTTGGGGAGTAGCGACCACAGTGTGCTTGCTGCAAGGTGGGTGTGCACGACTAGCTGAACGAAGGTGGATATGTTTGTAGCCTAATATGTCACTAAGTTAAGGATGGAGGGCGGGCGCGTTCAGTTATTGATGCAATATAGGAGGGAGGGGGGGGGGGAATGGGGGATAGGGAGGGCGCGTTCCAAATAGCAACATGCAAACAATACATTAGTAAACAGGGCTCTGATGTGGCGCGTGCGCAGTGCCTTCTCTCGCTACACTCTTACTCTTCCATACGTGCCCACTCATACCAGACAAGTGGCTAGAGGAAGAAGAGGAGAAGAGACAGGAATATCCCCGTAAGAACACAAGCGATGGAAGAGAAGTGCATGCTAAATCCTAAAAGGTTTGAAAAAAAAAGAGAGTTTCTCATGCATTTTTGAGGATATAGGACGGATTCTCACTGATCTCTATCAAGACAAGGCACTGGGGTGGGATTCATGAACCACACTCAGTTTAAAGCGTTGCTTACAGTTGCATCTTCAGTTCATTCACAACTGAAGTACAACTATAATAATAGTAACAATAATAATAATAATAATGATAATAATAATAATAATGACGACAGTTTAACTGAGTTTGGTTACAGCGTGCGCGTAGTCAGAGCATGCTGGGGGAGGGGGGGGGGGGGGGGTGATGGGTGGGGGAGGTGGAGGGGGGGGGGATGGGTGGGGGAGGTGGGGAGGGGATGTGAGGGGGAGGTGGGGGGGATGTGGGGAGGGGATGTGAGGGGGAGGTTGGGAATGGTGGGGGAGGTGGGGATACTGCTGTTGTGTTGAGGGGGTTGTGTGGGGGGGGGGGGAGGGGGGCATGAAGGGCACTTGAAAACGCCAAAATGAAATTTCTCATCTTCAGATGCTGTGAATTAGAACATTTAGGCGTTACAAGGTGAAACATTAAGGCTTTATAAAATGCAACTTAAAGGTGCTACAAAATGCAACTTTAAGGTGCTACAAAATGCAACTTTAAGGTGCTACAAAATGCAACTTTCAGGTGCTATAAGGAGGGATTTAAAATACTGCAAAAAAAGGGGATGGGGACTAAGAGTTAATAGAGGAGGATTGTGGGGAAGCTATTGAGTGGAAATTAATGAAGTGACGTGGGGCGCGAGAATTAGTCCAGGTTTGTGACGGAATGAGATGGGGGAAGGGGTGAAAGGGAGGGGGGGTCGCTAGAGCAGTTTCTCGGAGGAACGAAGGGAGGTGGGGAGGGTGAGGAATGAACAGGGAAGGGAAGGGGGTGAGGGGGTGTCAAGGTATGGCACGGGGTCACGGCTCGAGGGGTTCCGGAGGATCACAGTAAACACACCACCACGGCTTAGCGAGGTGGGCGGACGGGTGGCACTCTCCGCGGGGGTGGGGGACGTCTCCGGTCTATAGCAACTGTGGTTGGAGATGTGGAGACCTTCGGGTCACACGGCCTATAGTTTGATTCTCGCGAAGTGATAGCTGTTCACGTGGCAACCGCTTAACTGTAAGGAATACTAACTGTACTGTCTTTTATATTCCAAGCTATTACTCGTCTTAGTAAATGCCGTGTGACCCTCTAGTCGTGGACTGGCCCCGCGGAAGGTGGAACCTCGTCCGAGCTCCTCTGTGAGGTAATGTGGTGCAGGTGCGGGGGTGCGGGGGCGTGCAGGTACAAGTGCAAGGTACAGGTGCAATAAAAAACACACACGGTGCAAGGTGCAAAGGTGCAGTGCAACACACACGTGCTCAGCGGTGCCTGTTAGTTGGCCCAGTGTGGTTAAGCGTAATAACAATAAAGATGTCATTAAGACAAAAACAGAACGACGCCTGGGACAGCAGTGGAGGGGTGAAAGACAATCTTTTATTTTAATGCATTACTGCTTAAAGTGACAGCCGAAGCCTTCCCATTCACTGCTGGCCCAGACCTCGAAATGACAACGACAACATGAGATCACGGGCTTGGCTATCTTTGCCCTTTACTTTCTAGTGGACCACAGCTCTGTAGACGAAGCGGCTTGGGCTTGAATTGTCCTTCAAGCGTTTGGGTTGTCAGTGGAGTTTGGATAAACCTGGAGACGAGTCGAGACCTCCAGGTAAACACATAATGAGAACGTTGCTTGGCATTCCAGGAGACGCAGACAGCAGTCCTCCTTCAACTTTTCTGTCATGAGGAGTTAAACCAGTTCTTGTAGATCCGGTTCATGTAAATTGCCACTGATTAACCTCACAATTTATCAATATATTTTTCTGTTAATTCCAAATATATAGTTGTTTCTATATGAATAATACAAGTTGTTTCCACTTAAAACAACTATTGTTCCATATAGTTGTTTCCACTTAAATAATTTCAGACAGCAAAATATTCCACTATTTCTTTATCATTAATATTTTTCATCACGTTATGCTGTTTTCACATATGTTCCTCAAAACAATTTTTAAAGCCATATAAAACTAATTTTACCTCATGGTCGATTTTGAGGTCTCATTTCGACTACAAATATTTGTCTTTAGTTATATTTCCAATAGTACAAAAAGAGCTAGAGTACTTTCATACTACTGAGATTAAGAGTTGTACTTTGACGGACGAATGGTTGGCAAGTATTGTGCATGAGCGATGAGAGGGGGACTAGCCAGTGTCACTGGTCAGTGTCATTGGTCAGTGCCACTGGTCAGTGCCACGGCCGCCACATGGACTGGGGGTCGGCTGGCGGCGGCGGTGGAGGACTTTTGTCTTTTGGTATTTTCTGATATTTTTCTTGTGGCGCAGAGCGTGAGGGCCAGGAAACATACGAGGGTTTGGGAGCCAGCACAGGCTGACGGCGGGAGCTGGTGCCTCGGCTGGAGCAAGATGACGAGCCTAACTCTTCTCTGAAGCTGCCACTGTTCCATAACTGACCTCTGAGTGGCGGTGACGACCTAGATGTACTTGCTCTCTTGGGTGACGATCGACCAGCCTCCTCAGGTGCTGGGGATCCTGCGCTGCTCATGGAAGACATAGGAGTGCTGACCCCCGAGCAACTGATATCACTGTCTGATGTGTCAAGCGTCTCGGTGCCCAGAGCAGAATCTTCGCTGCTTGTTGACAAGGCTGGTGGCTGGACGAAGGAGGAAGAAATACCATTCCTGTCAGATGTAAGAATAGCTGTTAGGACAGGAGCCGAGGCTTGCAGGGCGGCACTCGGTGCTTCTCTCGTGTTGCAGCTCTGAGAGATGACATGTTGCGTGGCAGGGAGTACCAAGGTCAGGTCACTGTTGTTGAAGCGTGTCGGTTGTATCTGAAGGCCACAGTGCTGTTGGACGGGGGTTGAGCCTGTGGTCTGGAACCTGGGCGTGGTCACGAACGTCACCTGGGGCTGGGGACCCAGAGAATTGCCGCCGCTCTCCTGGTAGGCGATTTGTTGCGTGGGTGCCTGTGAGACGGGGATTCCAGCGGTGGTGTTGAGCACCAGGATAATTGGCGCAGGATTGGGCATCACATTGACGTTGTTCTGCACGCAGGCGGTGTTGCTGTTAACGCTGGAAGACAGGGAGGTGGCAATGGTGCTGAGGTGAGAAAATACCTTCTTATGGAGATCGTGGGGAAGGTCGTTCAAGCTGGCCAGGTACTTTGCGACCTCTGCGGCGCAGTGAGTGTACCCGGCACGGTACTTGGCCTCTTCACTGCCTCCCAGCCGTCCGCCGCCCGCCATCCTACCGCCCTCGTGCCGGTGAAGCGCCTGAACGTGCTGGACCGTCATCTCCAGGATGTCAGCCTTCTCTAACTTGCTGTATCGAGACGGCTAAGGAGGAAATATTTTACATTAATGAGAAAGGCTATAGACATTAGCGCCTAAGCTCTATAAGCATGTTTCTTAACGTTACAGGCTTCCAATATGGGAGAAGCCGAGAAACTACTTATTCGAAATGCGAGGGGTCTGAGGTGCCGAAGAGTCAACCACCTTCCTGCCTCTGTTAATACTATCTTAGATAATATTATCTTACTATCTTAAATCGGATTCGACTAGATATTTGTGCATTAGTGGGTTGGCTTCCACGCGAGACACTGTTACTCTTAACAACGGTAATAATGTAGGGCAAGACTGAAGAACTGAAGAAGTCGACAATACTCACGTCCTTCTTGGAGCCCTCCAGCACCAGGGTCTTTAGCTCGTTGAGGCAGCGGTTGATGCGTTGACGTCGCTTCTTCTCCATCAGCGGCTTGTTGCTCTGTGGGCGACACGGAGGTGGTTAATTAACGTTGCTTGTTAATGTTAATGGTGAGGCAGAGGTTGTTAACCTTGCCATGTGGCCAAGATTATATAATGTGGAATTTAACAGCATTTCAAAAGAAGTCAAATGGAATACATAATCACAAATGAACAAATTATACAACATGTGCAATATTATTTTACACTAAATCCACAAGCCAGTCTGACAACAAATCAGAATGACAACAAGCCAGTCTGACAACAAGCCAATCCTGTCAACAAGCCAGTCTGTTACAAAGCTGGACTGTCAACTAGTCAGTTTATCCTAAATCCTCATACGGTTTCTGGTCTAATGGGCCATTTCGTGTGTTCCAGGTACATTCCCACAGCCTTTACTCTGTGTACCCATTACGGGCTATTCATGCCCGTGTCACCTCTTGGGTGGCTTAACCTTCATCAATCAGTTGAAAACTGGGTTCAGTACCTGGCTCCCCAATCCCAGCCTGGCCTCTGCCCGGCCTGCGGGCTTGGACGAGCCCGCAGGCCCACATATCCATCACAATTTATAATGGATCCATTTTACATTTGTGTTCCAGCAATATTTCTTATATATGGCGGGAGACGGTTGAAAAGCCTAGCTGTGCATGCAAGGGGATTGAGCTCCGGCTCTTTGGTCCCGCCTCTCAACCTCTGTTGTTCATACAGTGTTTGACTGTGGTCATGGCACCTCTACTCTTCACTGGATCTAATTTTCCATTCCCTATCATATCCTTCACTCCACTAAGTTGTTAATTTGGGTATATATATGTGACCTGGCCTTCCAGTATCTTCAACAGCCACCCTCACCAGCAAGGTTATGGGAGTCGTGCACCATTCATCCACGATAAGTAATAAGAATAAAAAGAACCGGCCGCAATTTTTACAAAAAGTAGGCGCGCGCGCCCAGTATTAACGCGTCCCTTGTTTGGTCACTGGTCTTGGAACGGGTAGCATGATATACTGATAACTCTAGATCTTCTAATATCCTGCTAAACACGTCCACTGTTGTAAGTACCCCTGGTCACTCCACACCTTGTAGGCCAGCATCTTGACCACTCCACACCATGTAGGCCAGCACCCTGACCACTCCACACCTTGTGGGCAGCACCCTGACCACTCCACACCATGTAGGCCAGCACCCTGACCACTCCACACCTTGTGGGCAGCACCCTGACCACTCCACACCATGTAGGCCAGCATCCTGACCACTCCACACCATGTAGGCCAGCATCCTGACCACTCCACACCATGTAGGCCAGCACCCTGACAACTCCACACCATGTAGGCCAGCACCCTGACCACTCCACACCATGTAGGCCAGCATCCTGACCACTCCACACCATGTAGGCCAGCATCCTGACCACTCCACACCATGTAGGCCAGCACCCTGACCACTCCACACCATGTAGGCCAGCACCCTGACCACTCCACACCTTGTAGGCAGCACCCTGACCACTCCACACCTTGTAGGCCAGCACCCTGACCACTCCACACCTTGTAGGCCAGCATCTTGACCACTCCACACCATGTAGGCCAGCACCCTGACCACTCCACACCTTGTGGGCCAGCATCTTGACCACTTCACACCATGTAGGCCAGCATCCTGACCACTCCATACCATGTAGGCCAACACCTGACCACTCCACACCTTGTGGGCCAACACCTGACCACTCCACACCATGGCATTCATCCAGATGCCATTCTCCTTTTGGGAATGAAAATTACATTCGCCTGTTGCTTTCGATTCATCGTTACAGCAGCAATAGTGACACTGTTAGTGAACGAAGCTATGTGGATAGAGTTTGTGTTCATGTGAGTATGTACACATGTGCAGAGGTGTTGCACGCGTTGTACACATGTGCAATCTCTCCACACATGTACACGTGTGGAGAGATTGCACACGTTAAAAATGGCAACAGAAGACATTGAATTAACAGGCTCTGACGTTTGGAGGTAGATAAGAGCTTAACATTAAAAACACCCCTATCTTTTGACCATAATCGGGATTAATCTCAGATTAATCGATTAATTAATCCATTGGGAACTCATTAACTTCAGACTAAACGTTCTGGGAAGCAAACAGCCAAGAAACCAGTGAAGCGAGGCTTGAAAAAGTTATCAGCACGTGAACGAGCTGTCAGCGAGCAGATTAGCAGGTAATCAGTGGAACAGTCACCACTCACTACGGCAAGAGGAGCAACTGGAGTGGGAAAAGTGCCCCAACAGCGAGCCATGAAAATAATGAGAAGTTTTATTCCCCGCACGACAGTAGATCCGTCAAGGCCAGGCGGGGACGGCATGACCCTGTCTGGTGGAGGGAGGGTGGGTCAGAGAGGTGGGGAAGGGGTTGAGGGATAGGGAGGGACGGGTAGAGGGATAGGGGGAAGGGGTAGAGGGATAGGTGGAAGGGGTAGAGAGACCGGGTGCGGGGAAGCGCAGTTTGACAGCGTGGCTCACATTTCCATATTAGGCTTTCTGTTTTCCTTACTCGGAAGAGGTTGCTCTGGCTACTGACTATAGTTCTTTCACTCGAGGGTCACACTAAGGTTAGTCCAATTATCGTGATGTGGGGAAGGGGATGGGAGGAGTGTCAATCTACTCATCTCACACGCTTCTATCCAGAACAGCTGTCACGAAATTACTCTATCACAAGCTGTGTTACAACTTATGCACCAATCAGGAACGCGTGCAGCGAATCTGAATTTAAAACAATAAAATAAAAAGTAAAATCAAGTTTTTAATTCAGCCCATCTGACTATGGTTCTATAATGAAAAACTTTGTCCAGTAACGATAATAATACTGTTCATAACACAATATAGGGAATTTTTCTCAGGCAAGTATGTAGGTCTCTCAACTCCGAGGAGAAGCGCTGCACGTATTACGAAGTAATCTATTTCTCTCGCTGGTTATTGACAACCAGATTCATTGTACGTGTTTAATCGGAAGGTACCCACTCCGCCACACAGGTATAGCTCCTATCATAACTACAACCATCATTTCCTCACACACACATGGTGTCACTGTCTCTCACATGGGTATTGTTATGCTCTCTTAAGAGGCATAGCTCCTATCACAACTCGGAGCATTTTCTCCCTCTCCGAGGCATTGTTTCTGTCACACATTAAAATGTACCTGCCACTAGTATCGGCATGTGGCTACAACTGCCAATTGCAATAGTTTTTTTCTCAAAATCGAAAGCACTCTTTAACTACAATAGTCACTTATTTTATAAGTTGCTTTGATTAGAAGCTGTGGTGGTGTTTACACTAACAAATTATACATTCCCTGCCATGGCTAGATGTCGCAAGCGGTGTGAAGGAATTACCACAGCCAGAATTATTGTTGCTCACAGCCAGATGATCCGTTAGTCTCCAGAGTTTGCTACAGTCAGCCAGATCGTGTCAACGCAATGCTATACAGCCCCTGACACTCACCTTTCTATTCATGGAGCAGTCTGCCGGCGAGGACGTGCGGCGGTGGCCGTTGGTGCTGTCTGCCGTCATGTCATCTGTGCTCACTTCCTCCTCATCGAGGAAGTTGTCTTCGCGGCCCAGGTGGTGTATCTCCTGATCCAGGCACTGTTGTCTCCTGGACCCCCCCAGCTGATGCCTCTGGCGTCGGCTGAGGCGATGGGCCGACTCTACGTCTGAGCCCGACTGACTCCCGCACTCTACTGATGACTGGCCCTCCATGTTGCGGGTAGTGGGCAGCGCGCGGGAGGTCGCTGGGCGCGTCAGCGGGAGAGGGGAATGGGGGAGATGGGGGGTCTTACGCTCCTGTCCAGATCTGTCGTGTTTTGCTGCTTTGCGTCTTTATACAGAGTCAGAAACTTGTGAGGTTATTATTCTTCAAGCTCGTTTCACGAAGCCACTTCGTTGTACTTGAGGGAGTGTCACATGGACGAAGAATTCCGCGTCGTGCGCGTTTATGCCATATGGCGAGTAGTTAGTCGTTGTGGAGAGTGTGACTGAGGTGAAGTAAACAGAGTATGTTTGATGATGGTGAAGGAGGAGGCCAAGGCAGTGAGGGAGAGGTCGTCGACTAGGAGGACTGCAGGTCGGGGACTGCGGTGGTGTGGCGGCTGCATTTCTTCCACACTGGAATAGTTTCTGTGAAAAGAAGAAATACAATTAATCTCCTGATGACAGGTTTGGTACGTAAACATAGCATAAAACCTTATATGAATGTAGCCATGGGGCAACATCATGTTGTGTCGCGTTGTAAGGTATTATCACTTGATTCCAATATTACACTCACTTTCGCGATAAGTACAGTTATTGCATGTTCGTCCCGATTCGTGTATCATGTTCTTTACGCAAATATACAATAATCACAAAAATTTGCACGCGTACAAATGTGATCAACCATCAGAGTGGATAAAGAAGATCTGACTTCGTGGGATGCTCTCTAATCTCTTCCATTGGTGGCACCGTCAGCACCTGCAAGGGGTCAGCACTCCCGCCTCGGGAGCCCCACTCTCACCTTAATCCTTCCACGCCCAGCCCTTTATAGTTCAGCGGCCCCTGTGGCATGAGCTGTTAGCCTGGCACCCTTTATAAGCGGTAGATACAAGTTGAGCTCTTGACGCAACCTTTTATAACGCGCGACAAGGTCATCGTCTGGAACTGGCATAGAAAAAATGGGGAGGGAGATGCCCTGGGGTAGAGCGATAACGCTGTATACTAGTAACCCCTCTGATCCCAGTTCGATCCCCATGAAGCACAACGCGAAGTTCCTTCCAGGCCACGATCCTACGGATGGAGGGAGGCAAGGTCTTGTACGCTCTAATCCGGTTACCTGAAAATGAAGGGTTGTTTTCTAGATCGAAAGGCGAGTTTGCATATCAATTCCACTTCACGAAACTGTTGTTTATAGTGGATAACTTGCGTGTCCCATGTTTGACGTCAGGATATATAGCAGACGTTCGCTGTCCGCTAAAACAGCTTACTGGGAACAGGCACTCGCAAAATCTGTGTATTTGCCATAGGTGTTGTGAAACTGTAATTATCGGCGAGTGTACGTAGAGAATGGGTGTTCAGCATAAAGTGAGTGAGTGAGTGAGTGAGTGAGTGAGTGAGTGTGTGTGTGTGTGTGTGTGTGTGTGTGTGTGTGTGTGTGTGTGTGTGTGTGTGTGTGTGTGTGTGTGTGTGTGTGTGTGTGTGTGTGTGTGTGTGTGTGTGTGTGTGTGTGTGTGTGTGTGTGTGTGTGTGTGTGTGTGTGTGTGTGTGTGTGTGTGTGTGTTGAGGAGACAGCAGTTCGGTAAAGGTTATGGGTAGTCATTCCCGGCCGGCGGGGCATCTAGCAAGAATGTCGATAGTTTCCTCTCTAGCACGAGCGAGATGGCAACACTGGGCGTCCAGGAACACTAACAAGAAACAGTTTAAACCAAGTTAAGTCTGTTTACAGCTAATTACCGACTGTATGCATCCAACTTCTGTGATTTGACATTAACCTACCGAGAGCTGTTTCACGCTAACGTAAATTTACATCCCACAGCAGTGACTCTGGCTGCTTGTAGAGAGTATTCCAGTTATGTAGCTACTTATGTTAGGAGGATTTTAAGGGGTCTCTTAACTACTTGTTACTGTACTAGGAGCAGTTGTCATTATCTGATTGGAGAGATGTTGAATGCCCCTAGCTGCTTGGCTGGGTTATCTCTAGATGTTTGAGGGAGGAGGAGGAGGATTAGTTCTCAATGTAAACAAACTTTTGCCAACGAGCGCTGATTCTTGTAAACGCGCCCTCGACTTCGCGCGCAAAAATACGTTACAGTGGCTGGGCAAACACACACACACACTCCCGTTACTAGGGACCCCGTACCGTTGTCAGCCAGATACTGGAGAGTCCGAGACAGCTTGGACGTTGTTTGTAAGAAGACGGGTTGATGAGCAGCCTCTTCATCGAGATCTCCTTTGTAGTGTGTCGCCACCACTGTCGTCTCTTGCCCCTATATCGCATATATGTCGTATATTATATTATATATTATATATATATATCAAAATACTGCGTTGTATTATATACATCGCCGCTTTATACAATAACAGACGCGGGTATTTACGTTTCTCTCTCTCTCTCTCTCTCTCTCTCTCTCTCTCTCTCTCTCTCTCTCTCTCTCTCTCTCTCTCTCTCTCTCTCTCTCTCTCTCTCTCTCTCTCTCTCTCTCTCTCTCTCTCTCTCTCTCTCTCTCTCTCGAGAGAGAGAGAGAGAGAGAGAGAGAATCATGGCAGCTCCAATCTGAAAAGGGGAGCCGAGAGTTCCACGATTGCCTAGTTTACCTATGGATGAATTCGAGTTGTTCTACTCCAGCCTCTTCTCCCGATTGGCTGATCTGTGAGTGGTGTTTGTCTTCACAGCCCGAAGGTTCCCTCCCCCCCCCACAGCCTTGTCCGTTTCTCTTGAAAACTTTCACTGTTGATCCAACATGTGCTGAAAGAATTCCAAAACTTTTCGCCATTATATAATCCTTGAAATGGAAACTTTCAAGCTACTAAGAGTGCCTCAAACTGCTGAAAACTGCTTCCGTTAATTATGCTATTTCCTTATATGCCAAATGACAAATTAAACAAATAAAATGCGTCAGAAAGTCTTGAAGGGCGTTTACCTCTCGGTAATAAAAATAAGAAAACACTTAGACCCTTCTCGTATTCAGGCAAAAATAAATTTTATCTGCATACTTTCACAAAACGACAATAAAATTTAAAGCCTTGGCCATGGCAGCGCGCAGGTGACATCTGCGCGACCTCGACGGCAGAGGAGTCTCTAGTACTGGTGCTGCCTGACGTACGAGCCAGCTGGAGCTTCTTGTATTGGTGCTGCCTGACGTACGAGCCAGCTGGAGCTTCTTGTATTGGTGCTGCCTGACGTACGAGCCAGCTGGAGCTTCTTGTATTGGTGCTGCCTGACGTACGAGCCAGCTGGAGCTTCTTGTATTGGTGCTGCCTGACGTACGAGCCAGCTGGAGCTTCTTGTATTGGTGCTGCCTGACGTACGAGCCAGCTGGAGCTTCTTGTATTGGTGCTGCCTGACGTACGAGCCAGCTGGAGCTTCTTGTATTGGTGCTGCCTGACGTACGAGCCAGCTGGAGCTTCTTGTATTGGTGCTGCCTGACGTACGAGCCAGCTGGAGCTTCTTGTATTGTTGCTGCCTGACGTACGAGCCAGCTGGAGCTTCTTGTATTGGTGCTGCCTGACGTACGAGCCAGCTGGAGCTTCTTGTATTGGTGCTGCCTGACGTACGAGCCAGAAGGAATCTCTTGCACTGACACTGGCGCAGGAGCCCAAAAAAAGAGACACATAGTACTGGCGCTGCCAGACGTACGACGAAAAGCAAAGGTAAAATACAGTACATAATGGTACAGCGCTATGCCCTCTACGTCTATATAGTGTTATCAAGTCTATTTTTAAAAGTGCACCTAAGTGATGCTGTGAGAGTAGAACGAAATCTAGAAAATGGTCAGAGGAAAATATCAAACTCTGTTGTATCACAATTACGGGCAGCGATACATATGAGCAGACGTAACGACAAGACACGCGAGTTACAGCCCCGCTCCTGTGCCAGGTAAGTCCACTACGGGCTCACCATAGCCCGTGCTACTTGGAACTTTTAGTTCCCCAGTAGCTGAATCTTAAAACAACAACAATGACAAGACACACACTGGCGCGCTCGCTGAGAATGGAAGCAGATAGTACTCTGCAAAATTGTTCATCTATCCAGTTAATCACTATACCAGTCGATCACTGTACCAGTCGATCACTGTACCAGTCGATCACTGTACCAATCGAACACTGTACCAGTCGAACACTGTACCAGTCGAACACTGTACCAATCGAACACTGTACCAGTCGAACACTATACCAGTCGAACACTGTACCAGTCGATCACTGTACCAGTCGATCACTGTACCAATCTAATTGAGTGTTACCCCCCTAATCAAACATGGCCCCGATTCTACAGAGTCTTATTCAAGGACTACCCGGAATAAGTACTTCCTCAGTCGCACACTGCCCTAGTCAATTACCAACTCAATTTAACATTATCCTAATTATGCACAGATTGTGCACAACCTTATGTTGAGCAGTCTCCAAATTGTGCAATGACAAGACTGATCATCGTCTAGAATGAGCACTGATGCAACTGAAGATTGCTCCAATTAATCTGTTCAAGTTATCCCCCATCAAAAAGCAATCCGATTGAATGATTCCACAACCTATTCACTTCCTCATTTGATGTACAACACCTTCGAGCCACGATAAAGAAGGAAAAATGCCGCTACGAAAAGATGCACTGAAGAAGGAGTGAAAAGACGAAGCAATGTGAGTAGTGATAAAAGTATTTGTGTGTACGTCTGATACCATACTACTTGTGAAGGAGGAAATGTATATGTTTACCTCTCAGAATGTTTGGTAATATGTTTATTTGTGATGTGTGTCTATGTATATATTAACACGTTGTACTGAACGGGGTGAGAATAGCTTGAGCTACCTCATCCCTTTGTGTGTATTTTACCTCAATAAACTTATTTCAATTTCAATTTCAATTTCAATGTGAGAAGTGTATACATCCTGTCAGCACTAAGCCTCTCTAAAACCATCGACACCAATCTTGCCACGCAGCTGGGATAAGTTCTGACTCTCTTCGCCTATGAAGTTGTGCACCTTCGCCTACACCTTCGTCTTCCTCTCCAAGACGCCTCTTCAGCTATACCAACTGTCCTCTCACTCAGTGGGTATCTTTGTTATATTTAGTCTTAATCATTAGCGCATACAATCCTAACCACCGTTACTTATAAAACTGTATCGAGTATCATTTATGTAAATATGGTAAGACAAGTGAAGGAGTCACTGCTCTCAAAAGACGCGGTTTAAAATGTGCTCGTATAGGGGGTCGTATAGGGGGTCGTATAGGGGGTCGTATAGGGGTCGTATAGCAGGTCGTATAGGGGGTCGTATAGCGGGTCGTATAGGGGGTCGTATAGCGGGTCGTATAGCGGGTCGTATAGGGGGTCGTATAGGGGGTCGTATAGCGGGTCGTATAGGGGGTCGTATAGCGGGTCGTATAGCGGATCGTATAGCGGGTCGTATAGCGGGTCGTCAAGATGTACTGGACGCAG